GAACTCTAGCGTGTATAATAGAAGCGTTAAATTGAAGCTTGCTTATTTACCCTTATTTGCAGTTCAATAGAGAAAAAATGATTGTGATCAATAGGAACAACCAATGAAAAAACAAAAATTCAAAAAATTAGTTCAAGAAAAATTATGTCAAAAAATATGAAATTCTCTAGCCCCGTTAGTTTTGCTGAACTGTAATTTTTATTTTCTTCTTCTCTTAATTTTTACATTTCTTTTCCCTCCGGTTTTATTTGCTTTCAGTTTCAACTTCCTGAATTACAACTCTTACAATATTCCGAACAGTGCTATAATTTATTCTATAGTTTACAATATAAAAAAACAATTTCAAAAATAACATTGGTGACAAGACAGTGTTGCGCTTACAAGGTGTTTTAATTAAAAATCTGAAAACATGAAAGAGAACAAAAAAATGGGGTTTTTTTTCCGAATAATGAATAGGAAAAGCAGTTGATTTTATAAAAAAAAGGTCAGAATTAATTTTAATAATTAATTTATATCGTATATCATTATCATTTAATGCCCATCATATTATTTTAGTTGTATTGTTTTGTCTGCTTGTACAAATTTCATATTTTCTGTAAATACAATTCTGTAGGACAAGATTGTATAACACATATATAATAATGTTTCCTCATACAAGGATTTCGCTGCATTGTTTTTAATTAAATTTTTTAAAAATTATATAAGAAAAAATTTTTCATTTAAAATTTTCACTTAAAATTATGTAATTGCAGTCAACTTTTGTTCTGTATATATAGGAAATTTCATTAAAAACCGTCATTCGTTTTTGAAAGGATGTTGTTGATTCCTTCCAACCATATATAACAATTCATTTAATGCTAAAAGATGTTGGATGTGTAATTCTGGATAATTTAATTGAAATTTTAAGGACATTTTAGATTTTAAGCAAAATTTTAAATTATATATCACAGTTGAAAATTGAAATCCTAATAAAATTACCACATATTTGTAAGGGGGATTATTGAAAAGCTACTCTAACGCTGCATAATATAAAATAAGAATTTTCTTGAATTATTCTGTAGTCACACTTCACTTTGTCTACTAGTAGTAGACAAAGTTTTTTTATATATTTTTGTATGTTTTCAACTGAATATTAACACCGCTACTCGTATTACGATCGGCGAAGCGAATTACATTTTCGGCGAATATGAATTTTTAGTATTGTGATGTGATCAGCGAATGCGCCAGAATTTTAAGGGAATGAAGTATTAAAACTGTCGTTTGAAAATTTTGTTGGACAAGTTTGGCGTATTGTTTGGAAAAACAAAATCAAAATAAATATTTTATTTTCTTTATCCTGATATAATGAAAAGTTCAGATTATTGCAAAAAAATTGATTGTTTAGCATTATTTTAAGCGTGACAAAAAAAACTAACCCAAAGCAATTTGATCAATTAATGGAGAAAAATTCCGATATGGTAATGTAATTTTTTAATGACTTGAGCTAGCAACGTTCATAATTTGAAATGTCATTCGATTCGCGTAGATCACTTAATTTGGCAAACCATTCACTTCGCCGATTATAATAATGGTATAATAGACCGAATAGCTGACACATTCAATTCGTAGCTCAACGCTTCAAAATTATTGAAATGAAATATTTTGTGGTCTGTTCTTTTTATTGAATAACCTTGTTTTAAATATACAAAAAATTTTTGTTTACTAAATTTTTTATGAGATCAAAATACATAATTTGTTCCAAAATCTTTGAAGATTCAAAGTGATTTTGGCAAAATATATTTCCGAGCTATTCACTTCCCAATTAAAAAACGAGTACCATACATAAAAAAACAAAAAAAATCTTTAAAATTTCACTGAAGGTCATTTTTTTCGACCTATCCGTTTTTCAAAAACCAAATTTTAAAGTCAAAAGTTTATTAAAATAAAGCTAAAAACTAATTTGGAAAAAGTTTTCAACTACAAAGCGAAACTTAAATTAAGTACAATTTATTTAGCTTTTTATTTTTTTTTTTTTTCTTAATGTTGATATTATAAAACTAATTTTCCAAACAATGCGTTTAAATTATAAAATGTTTTCATTTAGGAACAAAATTTGAAATTTTTAGATTTTTTGTGTTACTCTTCTTGTTACACACAATCTTATATAACAAACATTTAAACACTCATAACTGTTATATGATATTCATTTAAATTTTCACACAAAATTTTTTAACTTGATAATTGTAAAAGATCAAGAATACACTTAAAATATTGAATTTCTTCAGAGTTTTCCGGTTTTATTTTAGTAAAAATGTGTGAAAATGTCAAAAATTTAATTCTTTTTTTGCTGCAAGTAGATATAAGCAAATAGGGTACAGAGATTTTTTTAAATCCAACAGAATATGAAATCGTTAAAAAGTAAAATGAAAACTTTTTGTTAAAACGAAAACCGAATTTGTTTTTTACATGCTTGAAAGTACTCGGAGTAGAACTGGTCAGATTCCGAAAGAAGCTCTTATAGATCCATGCAACACACTCAGAATTGTCATAGAGCAATCTAAGGAGACGAATACTCTTCTCTACTGCACATCAGTCGATTTTGTAAGCGTAAAACATGAGGCCATCCAGCATACATTCCAGTATTACACTATAAGGCGGTCACTACAAAAATTGTAAAGTGGAAATAAAATAAAGATCGAGATGAAATTATAATGCGGTTTAATTATTAATAATTATTATAATGCAGTATTTATTAATAATCATTAAGAAAAGTTTTATGTAATTGATTACATAATTTCGCTACTAATTGATTACAGCTACTAAGTAATTCCAATTTTAATGAGAATTGCTTACAAATATTCCAAATATTCTTAAAATAAATTAATGTCCATAAAAGGCAAAATTATTATTTTTACAATATAAATTTATTCAATAAATTAAATTCTTATTTTATATAAAATTTATAAATTCTATAACAAAATACTCCTTTCCTGACCCCTCCCCATCGTTCATAACAGAAGAGTAATTATTTAATCCTTATATCTCGAAAGAGCAACAATATAATAGATAGGTTGTAAAGAAGGGTATACATATAGTTTACAAAATCATATAACTATACATACATGTACATATATAAATTATAATTTGAGTAATTATGAGTGTAAAGAAACAAAATTTTCAATTACGTTTTTTCTTGCAAAATCACAAAAAACCTTAAAATATAAAGGACATAATCATTTCCGGATGTTATTAGTCTTTATATTTTATTATAAATTCGTATATATGCGTCGTATATGTATATGTACACAAAAAAATTGATTTATATTACTTAAGGTTATATACAAAATTATAACAGTTGTCCTATAAAGTACATTATATAAAACACATTCTAAACAATTATGTATTACATATAGATTGTATATGTGTATAAATTTACAATAGGTTAGAAAGGAAATAAGAGCTTGAATAATTGTCCAAACATAATATTTTGTAAGCCTATTTTAACTCTAAGTACCAATATACATACATAACATAAATAACATACGCAGTATATCATATACGTACAGACGTTTTTTTTACGGCACAGGACCCCTACAATCTTTCATCTTTCGTTTAATACGTTAAGCAATTTAATATAGACTTAAAAACAACAGCAAAAACCAGAAAAATACAAAAACCATAGTCTTTTCTTTCTCGTTTTTGTTTCCTTTTTTATAACTTTATTTATTATAAAATTTTTGCACATACGTAACATCCAACATACATACTTAGTAAACATTCTATACTAAACGTACGCATATATGATATAGATATATAAATAATAAAATAAAACCATTTTGTGGTAAAAAAAAAAATCCTTTTCTTTTTTTTTTGTATTTAGAACTCAAAAGATGAAAATTTTTGTGCTGATTTTGACAGAAATTTCTATTTATTATGTGCGTACAATATACCACACATTAAATGAAAATCCTTAAAATGGAAATGTATATATATATGTATATGTATTAATATAAAATAAATAGAAAATGAAAAACCTCATCGCCATGAACCATAATTAATTTTCCGGTTTATTGCTTTTAAAGATTTTTGATTTACAATGTAATAGTAATAGTAACGAAAAAAAAATTTTCGAGAGAATAATAATGTGTCCATAAGTAAAATATCATCTTAATCCCTTGTTATATCATACACATACATACATAATAATCCCTTTCCATTGCAACAGAATGTTGACGATTGTTGGTTCACCCCCACCCCAAAAAAAACAACAATAAAATAGTTTTGATTAAAAGATTATGACAAAAAAAAAATCCATACAAAAATAAAATTATAAATTGAATGCATAATTTGAAGTCATAAAATATACTCTTAATTAATTCGATTATATTGGAAATAAATATATATATAATTGAACTATACATGCTTCCATATTATAGTTACTCCATATAAAGTAAAGGGAAGCGAATTTCATTTTTAATTTTATGACAAAATTTGTTAAAATAGATTGGTTATATTACTTCAAATTAATATTTGAAATGTTCCATTGTATCGTAATTGAAAATTTTAGAAAATTAATTAATATTAGGTAGAACTCTAAATCATATTTTATTCTTATGCCAAAAATTTCATTTAAATATGCAAAATTTGAAATTATCTTCAATTGCATTAATTTAAAAAATGCCAGTTAAGAGGCACTTCCATATTGCATTGAACCGCATCTTTACAAACGAGATGTAAAAAATATGCTTAATAAGTAATAATTAAATTATAATCTAACAAGTTTGATTAAAATTTAATAATTCTATGATTTGACACTACACCCAATTATTTACTGGGTTAACTCAATTATCTTGACAAATATAAGTTTATTTTAAGAAATATTTGTTAGGGAGTTCAAATATCAACTCAAATGGGATTAGTTAATTTTGAATGCCATAAAAAATTGTACATTTTTACACTAAAAGATGTTATCAATTATAATTGAATAAAATTATAAAATTTTTCAATTAACAAAAACTTACTGTTTTCGGCACTTTGTCCCAAGTCTTTTTTAAACGATATACAGCAGCATTTGTAAATGCAGCGCATATTTGTAAAACACCATTAAAATTATGTAAACATCTGCATATATCAGCAACGGCTGTCCATTTTTCGATAGCAGTTACACGTGCAGACATATTTGTCCTAAAATGAAAAAGAAACACATATTATATAAGTAAATCTAGAAAAAGAAATAATTTCAAAAATATGTTAATAAATTTAAAATTCCAATGTTACTACGTAATTGTAAAATTAAAAATAATTTTACAACTGTTCCAAACAAAGAATTATGTTTACTTAAATATATAGCCTATTTTAACCCTCTCATTGGCATCATTTTAAACTTGTTTAAATTTGCTTTTGAATTTGTGCCGAGTAATGTATTAAAGTAAATGCAAAATCGCATGACGACTGTCGCACCGAATTCTTATAAAGCCAACCATTTTTAAAGGATTACTTAAATCTTGTTCTGAATAAACCGTTTCACCAATCTCTCCAAAACATTATTTTTCATTTTTTCTGTTCCTGTTCATACGACTTTTTAAAAAAGTTTTACGTAAATGAGAACTGAAAACTTATTTTGAGTTCCTGATAGTGGGTCACTGAACACACACAAACAATTTAACTTTTATAATATTTGATTATTCTTGTCATGATTTTTTGATTGAAGCAAATTTTCAGGAGTATAATAATCACGATCCAAGGGCTAATTCTATATTATGACGTGTAACTTCTCTATGACCGTGAGTGGATGCTCTTTAAAATTTTTTTCATCGTGCACTTACTGCAATTTCAATTTAGTAAATAATTTACATAAAACTACTTAATATTTTGAAATTCTCCTCCGGAACATTCTGCAAAATTTATTCAGCTTCTCGCACACTACACCTGAAACACTTTTTCATTAAAGAAAAAAAAAATTCTTCGTTACTATCCTCGTTTATATTTCAAACTTAAAATTTTTCAAAAACAGCTGCAATTTTCCTTTTTTTTTTAACTAGACTATTTATCTAGAGAATTTATTTTACGATTAGAAAAATAAATTTATTTTATCCGATACTTTACTTGTTTTTAGTGATTCTCTGTATGTTTGGAACCTTGAATATGTGCTTCTAATATTTCTGAAGAAAATTTAAACCGAAAAGAAGAAAAAAAAATTGTAATTTATACCTTAATTTTAAATTCCATTTTGTAATCTAACTATAAAGCTATAAATAACAAATTTATATTTTATATAAAAAATTTCGTTACTTTAATCTTTTTAATACCCAAAAAAAAATCCCGTTTTTAATTTAGTTTTAAACCCTTAAGGATACACAAAAAATAATTTTTCATTTGAAAGAAAAAAAAACAAACCCTATACCTACAAAAAGAAAAAAAACGAAAAACGAATGGAAAAGTGTTAGATTTTTCAATTTATTGACGTTATGACTTAAAATATTTAAAAGTTTTATATTAAAATCTAATATCGCAAAAGCTAAGTAGAAAAACAAATTCTAACAAAATCAAAAAACAAAAATTTCACATTTTAATATGGAATACCAATAAGGGCATATAGTTATATTTGAAACAGACAGAACCTTAAAAAAAAAAAGCAAACCATCTGTGTAACTTTAAAGAAAAAAAAATAACTAAAATATAAAAAAATTCGGGTCTATGAATCAAAAGATAGAAAAGACCTTGAAATAGAAAATAGGGATTTTGAAAAATCAAATAGAATAAACCAAACAAAAAACACACCAATGGTAAAAACCAATTTATGTTTTATGAATCATAAAAACTACAAAACCTATCACATCACATTGTATGTTAAATCAAAATTATTTAAAGGTTACCACCTAATACAATAAGAAATTTCTTGTCCAACACGTAAAATCTAAGGATATTTTATTTAGATTTCATATTTTTGGAATTAAAAACAATGCAAAAGAAAACCTTGTTCAAAAACGCCCATGCTAACATATTCAATATTTATGGAATAGAAATTCAGAAATTTTATAAAATAAGGCCATTTTAAATATCTTTCCCTTAAAGTAATGTAGCTAGTCTAAAATATTGATTAAAAATATGAATATGATTAATTTATAATAGGATAAAAGGTGTAATTTTTGTTTTTTAAGCTCGATTTGTTGCAAATGTTACTCATGGAGAAAATAGCGCCTGAGCAACTACTTGGAAATTTTAATTTTTAATTGGGGACACGCTTAGTGAACGAATGGTTTCGTATATTTTCAATATACCGCAAAGAACTCTGCCATTAAATTAATCTTTTTTCACGGCACGCGTTTGTTGCTTACGTTATATCAATAATCTAATCTAAAAAAGTAAAATTATATTTTTAAGTATTGATTTAAAATATATAAAATTTATATATACAAACCTTGATATAATTTCAGACGAAACAAGTCTTGAACCATCATTAAAACGTTTCGTCATTAATATGATATGTTCGGCTCTTTCCTTTTTATCAGCTTTCATCCAAGCTTGCCCAAGGAATTCCCTTAAAAAACAAAAAAAACACAAATTAAAAATATATATCAAGTATTAATTTCGTCAAAATTTTTATAGTATTTCAAATTTTAATATTCAACTGATACGGCCTAATGATAATTTACAGATAAAATTTAACAATTGGCTGTATTTAAACTAGGTTCTGTCTAATTTAAATTGAAAACAAAACAAAGACGATTTTGCGTAGCGAAACGTCAGAATTCATTTAGAATACATATTATATTTAAATGGGACTGCTCAGAATCAATCGAGATTAACGCCGCAAATTCCACAGCCGGCAGTAAATTAAGTTCCTATTTTCCTGCTGGCAGTTTTTTTGGTCATCATATGTTCCAATATGTGTGCTATTATATAAAAATTCTGTGTATTCTGGGTTAATAATGGAAATTGTTCGTCGTTGTCGTCCACCGGTTTGATTTTGTTGTTACTATTATTTATCCAGTTTATCATAGAGTTAGGTTACTTTTACGAGTTCAAACCAATTATTCATATAGTCTTTCCAAACGGGCGTCTCATTTATTTGGCAAAAAATCTGAAACTCTTATTTCAAATTTGCCATGAATAAGCTTTATTATGATGTTAACTGTAAAAAAACTAAATTTTAATGTACTTAACAAAAAATTTGTGAATCAATTGAATAATAGGCAAAGTAGTTATTAAAGTTTACAAATATTAAAAAAAAAATCGAAGGATACTTTCAATATTTCAATATTCTAAAAATGTTTATTATAATAGACTTTGATCTGAGTGAATTAATTTCAAAAGATTTTTTCAAAAAAAAAATTCTTACCACGAATACGAAAAAAAAATATTGAAAACACTTTCAACAGTGATTTATTCCACTTCCTATGTTATTGTGTTTATCCCCCTCTTTGCCCTCAAAGAATATATCTGAGTCTATATTGAACTTAATGTGATAAATCAAAATGAAAAAAAGAAACTAAATTCTTATACATATTTAGTAAAGGAACGAAAAAAAAAATTATAACCACAAGGCATTAATAATGTGATGGTTGGTTTTTTTCACTTTGACGCTTCCTTCTAACGAATTTGTGCAAAAAAAAACCAAAAACATTAAACGCCACTGGTGGTATAAAAAAAATTCCTTTTCTTTTGAAGTTTCTCGTTTTTTTTTCAGATTCCATGAACAATTTTTTTTTTAAATTAAACTTTGTCACAGTTTGCCGCTTTTCCAAAATAAATTGACAGTTTTTATATGAAATTATTGTGTAAATTATTTTTTAATTTTGTTTACTTCCAAAATATCTCAAAATGGATCCTTTAGCACGAGGAAGGACACTACTGTGATAAAAAAATTAAAGAAAAACTGTTTTTTTTTTTTTTGCAACTGCTCTTTTTGTAGACTTTAACAATTTAAACGACTATTTTTTTAAAATTAAACTTAAGTAGATAAAATAAACTTACACTATGTTAATTGTTACGATTGTCACGACCATACAACGACCAATTAAATTGAACGTACTTTGATAAAGAAAAAGGATTTCCTTTATATTTTCAAAAACAAGGTAAACTTTTAGAAAATTTCTTGAAATCCTTATTGCTACCCGATTAGAGCACAATAATAAAAGGCCAATATTCTAGATTTACTTTGTATTACAGATGCAAAGACACCTAGAGGTGAATGGAAATATAGAAGTTTTGAATGATTTTCAGTAGTGAACGGGGAAGATCAAATCTTTTGACGGAATTTGAGTAAGTACGCTCTGTAAAAAACTTAAAAAAACCAACTATGAACTATTGACAGTAAAAAACTGAAGAAGACACCCAGGGTAAATGAGTTTTAAAATAAACCTGCGTTTTAAAATAATCATTGAAATGAACCGAAACCTTGTGTCATCATTTTAAGATTCTTAGGAGGCCATTGTAGGCTCAAGAATAAGATGAAGGGACAATCCATTTTTTAAGTTTACGTATCCTGGCACTGCAATAATCAATTTACAACTTACATGTAATTTTTACTGTCTTATTTCTTTAACCACATAGATTTCATATACTTACTCGCTTCGAATAGCCAAAAATATTTGATGATCTAAATATGTCATTTGTTCAGCTATTTCTAATGCTGATAATGTTTCAATACTTTCTTTACTTGCCACCTTATATAAAAAAAATGAAAATTTAAAAATACTAAAAAACATCTAAAATCAAAATTTAACTTACAGTAGGTGGTCTCAATATTATATCTAATTTATGCATATTTGAATCCAAATCATCACGGCACAATAAACGTAATAATTGTGATGCAGCTCTATGTTCAGAGGGTAATAAATTAGGGCTACATGTAATATCATCTAAAAATGCAATTGCCTGTGAACGTAAGGCTGCATCTTGTTCAAAATCTTGAAAATGTTTTGACACCCAGTGCCTAATTAAAATGAAATTTAATTTTATTATAATTGACATTGTTTTATTAAATTTTACCTTATAAATATAATTTTGTTTTTTATTTATAATGAATTACCTTAGCACATTTAACACACGCATTGTAGCTGGTGAACTAGTTACAGATTCCTTGCGATTCTTAGCTTCAATCTCAGGGGGCTCATCCCGAGGATTACTTGAAGCTGATGTAGCAATAGCAAAGGCCGCTGCAGCTGTTGATGTGCTACTCCTTTTATATATATATATATGTAGTGTAGTGTTGTTTTTTTTTATTAAAAAATTAATCAAAAAATTAGTTAGGATTTTAAAATTAAAAAAAAATATTTTAAATTATTTAGTTTAGATGTGTTGGGAGTTTCAAATTTAAATTAAAACAATTAAAATAGGTTGATATTTAAATATTATTATATAAATAGGTTTATATATATGAATATATATATACTATGTTCATAAAAGTTTCCTAATACATACGAACATTAATTATTTTAAAAATATAATAAAGATAAACATAATTTTATATTATTATTTTAGTTATACATAAAATATATATTTATTTATACACGACTAATTTATTTTTTAAAAAATATTTAAGATTTTTAAATTATGTGCTCAGAGTATAACAAAAAAAAATCAAAGTGTACGTATTAAGTATCAAAATTTCAAAAATAAATTTAATTCAATTATTTTTAATATTATCAAATATTCATACTTGTTATATAACATTGGCGTTCTGCCGTTTATGATGATAACTTATGATAACTTGTAGGCAAACAACACCAATTATAATTGAGAAAATCCAAATCAAATCCAAATTTGATTGAGAATATTAAAAAAAAAAACGGAGAAAAAGGCGAAAACGAGCGAAAACGAGTTTTCCAAATTTTTTGCAATCTATAATTAACAATGCAATGTCTCAGTACAAGATTTAAAATTTACAATGTTAATTGTAATCGTCACACTCAAAAATAAATAAAATTACATAGTGTAAATCTTGTGAATACCGCTGACATCGTGAATGTTTTAAAGACGTCTCCAACACAATGTCTCATGATCAAATACGAATGCATATAAACACTTTCGATATTCTCACAATTTCACAATTAATTTGCGACGCATTTACGACGGGTTTTTCGTATCGAGAATATTTTAAAACAATTTTCAAAGCTTGCGGTGTTTTCAAAAGGTCAAATTACACTTGTTTTGACACAAAATTTTATTACTTTTGTATAATTATGCTAAATTTAACAAAACATCATTGTTCATTGGCGAAGCTGTTTTATACTTTTAAAAACAAATGAAAGAAAACTACTTGTGTCATACAATGCAAAAAATAATGAACTGTTTTGTTTACATTGCCTAAAAAAAAATTACATTGTTGTGACATTTACGATGAGTGAATGTTCAGTTTACCCTCATAGTAATAAAAGAAATTGTGACTGATTGACTTTTGACTAAATTAAGTGCGAATAATATCAAAATTATTGTATGAATTATTTTTAAAGCACTTTTTTTCCGTAAACCGCTCGCTTTATTAAATTAACTAAAATAATTTTTATTTCCAAAAAATATAATCAGTGTCAAATGTAAATTAAAGTAAATAAATTCTAAAAAAAAAAAAAATCATTTCAACATAAATTATTATTTTTTAATTAAATAACACAAAACTATTTTATTTTATTTCAATTTTCCTAGAATTAATTAGTTTTTGTTTTATTTTTTCATAATATTAGCAAAAAAAAAAAAAACACAACTACAATAACAATAAATAATTTAATTAAATGAATTATAAAAAAAAAACATGGGAATTTTTTTTTAATTCATTTCATAATTAATTATTTTTCATAAATGTGCTCATTTTATTGATTTTTATTTTATTTTTAGTCAAATATTTTTAATATCCATGTAATTTATTTTCTAGTATTAATTATTTAATTGAATACATTCATAATTAAATTAACCCTATTTTAATTTCCTATATACTCTTGTGTTTTTTTTTTCTGATATTTTTAATTTAGTTTATTTTTTTTATAAAAAAAAAATTAAATTTATTATGTATTTCTTCTTATATTGATTTTTTCATAAAAATATTATTCAAGCCAGTCTAATAAGCACAATTTTAATTTTAGTATGTATATAAAATTTATGTTTTAAATATTTTTAAAAAAAATTATACGCGAATTTTATATTTAATATAAAAAAATGGACATTGTTGTACACATAAGAATTTAAAAAACAAACTCAATAATGAAATATTAATGTTAAAGTTCGTATCAACAAATTATCAATAAAGTAAGGGGAACCTTAAATATATTCATAACTTTCGATCAAGGGATAGACCCTAAAAAAAGATTATGAATACAACTTTTTTTGTCTTTACAAAAGAGATTTAAAATAAAAGAGAGTTTTATAATACGAGCTCGTTCTCACTCAACAGTAAATCAAGGAAGCAAAAGAGAGCGGTTAGAGTACTTTTATTTAGGTTGAATTCAGGGCGGTCATACTACATTAGATTTGCAAATGCAAACAGTTTTTGGTTTTTTTATGCTTATAACCCACAATTTAAGTTTGTAGTTCTGCAAAAGTTATGACAACACTCTCTTCTGCAGACACAAAAATTTTACTCTGCCGATTTGTCAAATTACATTTGTTTTGTTATGTAATTGGATTTAAAAATGATAAAAAGCAAATATATGTAAGTATTGAAGGTTTTTGTTTTATTCAGGAAAACTTGAAATATTTTTGTAAGTACATATCTATTATTCTTCAATCATGTCTTAATTTTTTGAACATTTATATTTTTTTAAGGATCATAATCATGGAAGAAATTTGAAATGAAAATGAATTCGATTTACTTTGCTTAGAAATTGATACTGCAAAAAAAATGAACAATGAATGAAGCCAATAGTTGAACGTTTGCAAATAGAAGAACACTCCTGTGACACTAAAAGAACAAAAGTGGCGTCATCTAGTATCGTTTTGAATAACACAAAATTGTTGCACAAGTTTTTAATATTTAAAATACATTTTTAGCATTTCAGATATCACTCTACATTGTGTAGTGTAATTTTAGTAAAGCGGTTAAACTGCTCAGCACACACCACAAAATTTTATAATATAATTGTATCACTTAAATTTTTATTTTTAAATTTTTAAAACCAGAAAATAAACATTTTAACTTTTCAACCATTTTATCGAGAATTTAAATAATTTTGACCCACAAAATCAATTATAATACAAAAAGAAAAAAATGTCTAAACCCAGTACAGCTTTCGAATATAATGTACAATATACATATGTATTTATGTATATATTAAATTCAAATATCCAAGCTCAGGAAATAGTAACTAACAGATTTAATTCGAATTTGAAAAATAAATTTGTAGGCAATTTATTTATTTTCATATATGTTTAAGTTACTTATTTACTCATTTTTCTAACCATATACAACATACGAGTATAAACATGTATGTATAGAAAATATACAATATTCTTGCTAATACATACACTTAAACCATATATAAAAGCGTACAATGTAATTCAGTTTTGGTGAATGTTTTATATACTTAAAAACTTTCTTAAATCTTTCAATATTTTCGTCTTAAACCCTTTGACATTAATTGCAGTTACTACCGTCGACAGTTTTTAAAAAACGAGCCGTATAAAAATTCAGTCAATTACTTTTCTCTTTCAAAGTATAAAGAAATTAGCCTTTTAAATATATGTAAATAATTCGACCTACATTTTATTTAATGAGTTCTAAATTTTTAAATATTAGAGAACTGATTCTAAGATCAACTGAAGAATATTAGTTAGAACTTAGACGATTAGATAAATATTCAAAACAGAGTTGTTATAAAAATTATGACTTAAAACAGAAATATTTTTCCAATGAAATACTCTGTACATTTAATTTAATAAAACGTCCTTCATGAATTTTATAAAAATTAATAAAATAATTTTTATTTTTTTTCAAATTTACGTAAACATAAATGGTCATTTAGATAAAAATTTTGTTTATCATAACCCACTTTCAAAAATATCAACATTATTATATTTTTTATTTTATTAGGGAAAAAAGGGTAATAAGGATAAAAACTCTAATAAAATCAAATTTAATTTTTTAAAAAAATTATATATATATACGAGTAAAAAATGAATTTTTATTTTTACTATTAACAATTAGAAAAAAACGAGACTCAGTTGATTATTAAATCGGTTCGGCATGATTAAATAAGATTGGAAAAACGAATTGCTTGGCGGGAAGATCAACTGAACTGAAGGACCTTTGTGTGGCGGAGGTTTATGAAAATTAAAAAATCGTTGTACAGCTAGAAGACCGTTATAATAAGAAGGTTAGCAAAATCCAAGCCACCTTACAGAAAAATCAGAAAAATTAAGACACCACTTTAAGGAAGAGTAAAATAAAAAGACTTTAGTAAGGTTGCACGATTCGGAAAATAAGAGAACCGTATTGACCGGTAAAATTATATAAGAAGGAAAAGCAGATTTCAAGATTTGGATCATTGAAAATGTCATGGAAGCTATTAAAGAATAATTGCAAGCAATTTTAGTATAGTTCGACTTTTATACAAAAGTCGAACTAGTAGCACATTTTAATATGGTACCGTCGAGTAATAACTGTACTATACATTACAGTTGTTACACACACACTACACTAGGCATAGAAACTTCTTGATTTTTTAAAACGAATTTCTGCAAAACATCTTTTTCATTTATAAAATTTCAGACCTACTACTATTTCTTTCATTTTCTCTTAGGACTATTGCATATAAATTTTTTACCTTTTTTTCCTTTTTGTATAAAATGACAAATTTAATGACCAATTCATTTTGGTTTTCTTTATTATTCTAATTATTATCACACAAAACAGAACTTGATTTTACTTAATTTCTTCTATATATATGTATATTTGTGTGCATTTTGTATTCCTATGGGGTAATTTTATTTTAAATGACTCAATAACAAAAAAAAAAATAAAAAATAAATAAATAAATAAATGAATACTATTTTATTTTCAACATCCGATGCCCTTAGGTGGCCATAAAAAATATTATTTTCTCTAAAACTCAGGGCAATATTCATTGAAAATAAAATGAAATGATAGCAATAACAATGTTCGGATCAATATGAGTTTAGAGACTAACAAAATATCATAAAAATAACAATAATAGAAAGTGATTAGGTATATTTGAATATTATCTTTCTACA